CGACCGTCGGTAATATTCGATTTTTCGAAAATTAGTACGTTAGATTTACGAGAATAGTGTATTGCATCATAGAGATATTTTTACAGTAATTTTCAGGGAGAATAGGAATCATTCTATTAATGAATTTGTGCAAATTAGAGATTATTTGTTATTAGAAAATATTCAAGAAGACAATTAACGATGAATAATGTATAATAAATATATAAATGGAAAGAAAATATTCTGAAAACAAAAATATGAAGTTAAGTTATTGAAATTTTGAATAAAATTTCAGGATAAGTTGATTTAATTTGGAAAAAATATTTCAAATATTAAAAATAGCTTTGTATCGTCGCTGAATAATTTATTTCGACGCTTATAACGTTGCTTTTTAAAATTTTCTCTATGAATATGTTATTTATATTGCATTAAAATTTTTGAAAATTAAGAAAATTTAAACAGCTTATAATGCTTGCTTATAATACTCTATTTTTAGGAATTGATATTTTGCAAAATTATGCCTTTAATAAACGTTGTTACATGTATGGATCCATTTTATAAATACGCACATGTATATATCTGCAATTGTAGAAATAATACAAATAATAGCTTGAAATTATTATTTTTTTTTTTAGTTAAAATTCTAAATTTTATAAATTTTATCGAAACATAAAATTAATTAAAAATACAGAAGATGTAAATATATTTATTTCATTCATCTCATTATCTCATTCATTGTAAATATAAATAAATAGAAGAAAAATATCATTACTAATATAACACTAATACTTGCATAATAACACTATTTTCGTATTTCGTTATATTTTCTATAATATTGAAATATGTGATATAAATAATTATTAGCATGTTTAATTATTTTCTGCTATCATCATTATCATATATCACGTTTCATTTCATTTTCATTTACGTAATATTTCTTGTCAAAAACACATCATCTTTTTTAACGTATTTACATTATACTTATCATCTTGGTGATAACAAATACATAGAAGATAGAAATATTTTTATTTAAAAAGGATTAATATTATCGATAGGAAAAAAATATAAATTGAATTTCTTAATTAAATAATTTACACATAATGAATGTATTATTAATAATAAGAGAAAACTACAATTAAAAATTAACAAATTTATTATATATTTATGAAAAATAACATTATAACAATTTAAGAAAGAAAAGTGAAATATTGAAATACATTTACAATATTATCTTTTTAATTAAAATGTATTCAAAGGAAAATCTTTTGGAGGAGATTTAAAGGTCAACACAAAGTTGATGTACAAAAATAGAGACTTATTTATTAAGTTATAAGCTATTTAAATTTACGTTAAAGCTAGTGTTTCACATCTAATCCAAACTTCAATTGCTTATAACTTAAATAAATCTCAATTTTAAATTGTTTTTCTAGAAATTCTTCAAAGATATTACAATATATTAATATATTCTGTTACAAGAGAAAGTTAATTAATATTATTTAACAAATGAATATAATAAAATCACATTTATTAAAAAAAAATTGTTAATATCTAATGGGGGAAATGTAAACAAGTATTGATCAGTATACTGAACTCTCTCTTATGTCTTTAGAGCTTAAATAAAATCAGACTAGCTATTTTCTAAGAATTTCGAAGATACATTTTAATTAAAAAGAACAGAATAATAGTAATTTGTATCTAAAGATATATTTTTCATTTTTATTAATTTTCTGATTCGTTATTTTTTATTTTTTATTCCCCTCGTAAATATTTATAAGATATTTAATTTTGACTTTAAAGAGCTCATTGTTATATGAAAAAAAATCGATGTGTATGACACAGAAAATTACAAGAAAAATTGCAATAATAAATTATTTTGATCATAACGATATTAGAACTAATTCATAATTATTATTTCACATCGATGTAATGTTAATCCTTTTCTATTGTGTATACTTCTACTTCAAAATATTTTCAAACGATTTTCAGACAATAAAAATACTTGAAATAATCACTATTTTAAAAAAAAAAACACTATATTCTATGCTCTGTATATTATCCCTTTTCAATTACATTTTATCTTCTTCGTATTAAATGCTCGCTGTTCTACAGTCCTTCCAAGCTTATTTTTTCAAATTATAGTAAATGACACATACTTACTTGATATAAATACATACAAATATATTAGATGAGCTTTCAATTCTAAAAATTTTCCTTTTCATTTATTTTTCTTCCTTTATTGGATATGAGCATGATTTTCGATAAATTCACCGAATATTTTAATCTTTTAAAAACAACTCTTAATCAAAATGTATGGTATAAATAATACATTAATGATTAAACGTAACATTACGTATATTACATCGTATGAAATA